ACGGAACCTTTTCATAAACCAGCAAAACCGGAATTGCAGGAAAAAAAAAAAAAAGGCTACGGAACCTTTTCATAAACCCGCAAGAAGGGGAATTGCAGGGGAGCGATCCGCAACCTACACCTACACCTACACCTACACCTACAGCGTTCCTTTTCGACATTCCAGATGGCCTCAGGGGCCTTGGGTACCCACACTCCTTTGGCATTTCTTGGACTCCAATAAATTTGGCAGGCTTTGCCCCTCTTGGGAAGCAAATCTGAGAGGAAATGTAGAAGGACGGCAAGCATGACACCCCTTCCCAACCCCCCCCCAACCCCCCCCCCCCCCCCACCAAAAAAAAAAAGAAAAAAAAAAGAAAAAAAGAAAAAAAAAAGAATGAACATACACCATCATACACGTACATAAGCTGAATCAGTCACAGGCCTGCTGAAGGTGCTGGTGTGAGCAGACATCCTCAGCATCTCGGCTCCAGTCTGTTGGTGGGGGGCTAAACCTGCTGGAAATCGGGTGCAGCGTCCCTCACAAAAAGGGTGGAATCCAGCTGTTCAAGAAGAGATCAAGATGGAGCACACACCCCTGCCGCCCAAGACACTCTGCAGGAGGGGCTGAAGCCACCATTTCCCAGGGGGGGGGGCACTCCGCCCCTCGCCCGGGGCATGCCTAATGACCCGTACGTAAACTGACCTATGTACCCAGTCGCACATTAGGCGTGTCTTGGGAGGGCGGGGGGCGGGGCGGTCGCCCGGACACCGCATCAGCCACCAGGCCTCCCAATACCACATACATCCTGCTTCCACATTTTCCAACCCCCTACATCAGTCACCGTTACGGTAAATCTTCAGGAAAATTCAAAATTGCCGTTGCTTTGCTTCAGTAAATTTCCCCCTTTTATTTATTTATTTATTATTATTATTATTATTATTATTATTTTTATTTTTAGTTCCAATCCCCCTACTTTCAGTCCTCAAAGCAACGGCGATTTTGAATTTTCCTGAAGATTTACCCAAAAAGATTTACCCTGCCGGTAATTGGAAATTGAGAGAAGAATATAGCTTTAAAAAAAAGAATAAAAATAAATAAAAAAATTGTCTATGCCAAAAGAAAACCCAAATGTCTAGGCCAAAAGGGAAACCCCTAAGAGGACCCCATATTACAAGTATATGAAATAAATAAGTACAAATTATTAAAAAATAACCATTCTCCAAAATGATGATAAATCAAACTCCTAGACTGTAGAAAACCTGTCCACAACCGAGATGAAAACTACTTAAAGGGGGATTCTCTACCGTCTTCCCCCGAATACAACGTACGGGCATTATAGCTGCTGTTTGTATTTAGGGTACATCTTTCAGTCTAAATACAGACAGCTATGATGACGGTGCGATGTATGCGGGGGGCGGAGGTAGTCACGGAGCACCTTCTGGTGACAATATCCATCTACTCAATCCACCTCCTCTCTCTCTTTCCCTGTCCGAAGAAGACGGCGATAGAAAAAAGGAGAACAGACCACCACCGTGGCAATCGCAGACCACCTCCACATCGTCACCGTCTCCGTGTCTTCAGCCATGCTCTGCATCGACTTCCAGTCTCTGGCACCTTCGCCCGCCTGCATGACGGCTGACGCCACCGCACAACCCTTCTCCCCCACTCCCTACTTGCTCAACCTCCCCCCTCCTATCCCTTCCTCCCTCCACTTCTCCCCCTCCTAATAGCTTCAAACAGCTCCCGCCTTTGCCTTCTTCAGCTAGCTTCTTACTGCAGTAACTTGAGTAACTAAGTTTCAGCTAGCTTCTTACTGCAGTAACTTGAGTAACTAAGTTTCAGCTAGCTTCTTACTGCAGTAACTTGAGTAACTAAGTTTCAGCTAGCTTCTTACTGCAGTAACTTGAGTAACTAAGTTTCAGCTATCTTCTTACTGCAGTAACTTGAGTAACTAAGTTTCAGCTAGCTTCTTACTGCAGTAACTTGAGTAACTAAGTTTCATCTAGCTTCTTACTGCAGTAACTTGAGTAACTAAGTTTCAGCTAGCTTCTTACTGCAGTAACTTGAGTAACTAAGTTTCTGCATCTTCCTAGCCATGGGCTCCATAAATTTTACATGAAACGGTGGGTGGGTTTAGTATGGCAGATGATCCTGCCGGTAGTCGCTATATGGTGGAGAAGAGAACACAAAATTAGCAACTGGCTTTGAATCCCTTGATGTGACTTTTAACTAGGGCCCTCAAATCTGATGCAGTCATAGCCCACATAGTTGAAGGGACCATGGACATTATCAAGGGTAAGGGAAATGGTATTCAGGCCTTGGAAGAGCTTTGAGCCGGGAATTACGACCTCATATTGTCTGTATTGGCCATGGTCGGATGCACGAGCCATGGCATTGTCTCTTCCACTTCTATCTGTCCTAAAAATAAATGGCTGGTTTGAAGGACCGTTGACTGCTATGCCTATCGCACCGTAGCTGGATCCGGCTACCCCAATACGCAGGGTGTATGATGAATTACCTTTCAGCTCCGGCAGTGTGAAATTGATCCGTCGAACTGTCGACGAATAGCCGTTGGCCCCCGTCCTTGTGTCGTTTACACGCCGTGGGCAATGTACAAAGTACCAGTCGCGTGCGTAGTCACTGCGGTCGATGTGGAAGACGGGATCGCCGTCGGGATATACTTCCGTGTATCTTAGCCAAGACCCATAATTTCTCCAACTGTTTGGACCTGTGCTCGGATACGGCCGTTGACTCCGAGGGTTTAGCACAGGGACAAAGAACTCGCCAAACGACCGGTTTGGGATGCCGATAGACCAGATGGTACGACCGTTTCGGGGAGGCCGAATTACCTTGCGTCCCACGTCGATGGGACCACCCTCACTGCCAACAACTACCTTTTCTTGAAGAACAAAATCACCAATTACGCCATGGACGTACGCGAAAAGGGAGTACGATCCTGGCCTGACATTTGGGATGTGAAAATGGCCATTTCTTTGGATCTTGGCCCAGAACTGATAGCCACTGGAACTGGCAGCCCAAGTCCCGGGCCGTCCCTCAGCGGCAAGGCCAACCCATGAATTGTCAGTGCCTCTGCCAAAAGTTGTTTTGTCCCACTCAGGATCTTCGACGTGAATTGTTCCGGAAACGGAGCTGCGCGAACCTTTGCCGGGATAGTCCGAGGACACTGCCCAGTGGTAAGGCCAAAGACTTTCTTCCTTGGCGGCGCGCGACAATGCATCCTTCCACAAACAGCCATGATAGGCTTCTTCTCCAGAAGAGCTTGAGCAGACTGGCTCGCCATTCACATAAAAGAAGTACGGCCCATACGTCTTTCTCCACGCCTGACCATGCAGGATAGAAACTGCCGGTGTCCCGTAATGACCAGAATGAAGCATGTTGAGTATGATGGGTCCCACTTGAACTGTGAGGTCCTGCTTCTCTGGCCCACCCCCCATGTACTCCATGCGGCTGGGACTGATCAGCCACATCCCTACAGCAGGGTTTGATGTGGGACCGACCCAACCATGCACCTGCATATCCTTGATATCCGCCGTGTAATGGTACTTGTGCTCGAACTCGTACTTGAACTCGGGATTCACGGGGTTTGTGAGGAGCCGGGCCTCCTTGAATGCCAGCTTTGAGCTGCGTTCAGGCGACCGATCGATCTCTCCTGGCATGTGTCGCCGCCGATCGTGGGCCAATGCAGCATACTCAAATTTGTCACGATTCAGCCGCAAGACAAGTCGCAGCTCCCCGATGTGGATCGTTGAGTCATTTCCCGCATGGTCAAGGACGAGGTAGCTGTAGAAGCCCCGATCTCCCCGATGCATTACGTACCGCATGTCAATCTTCACAGGAGCCCCCCTCTGTTCCTTGGTGGGAAACTGCACAAAGGATATCTCCACACGATCTGTGACCGACTCAGGAGTGATTCGGCGGTACTCATCGGCAGAGAACCGCTCATACGCAGCACATTCTCGGCCGTCACAACTCGCCCAAGTCATGTCGTAATATCCTCCGGGATTCCGATTACCGGAAGCAGCGGAACCGGCCGACCCGTTTCCTCCTTGTACCAAAGGAGCGGAAGTTGTCCTGAAGTTCTCAGAGCCCAGATTTTCTGGGAAGTCTAAGATGGACCAAGTGGAGTTGCTGTCTGAATCACCATTCGCGTCGGCGGACTGCAGATGAGCAAAATCAGACCCATTTTCCATTTCCGCCATTACACTGGGTTGCCACGCCGTCTGCACGTAGTGGTCTGGGTCTCGTCCTTGGGTGTCAAAGGCAGTGAGGCCCGAAGACTCCTTCCCTGAAGCAGATTACCATACTTTCCATACGATACCTCGTTTAGGAGGCCTCCACGGCTGAATTCAACCGTCACAATGCCATTGGACAGCAGCACATAGTTTGAACCCTCGGTCACGGTGACAGCCCCACGATCGCTTTGAGGACTGCTGGCTTGAACAGTGTGAGCAAGATCAGGAAGAGTGCCCATGAAAGTAGCGATAACGAAGACGACAAAAATGTAGGACGAAATGAATTGCCTGTCCATGGTTATCCTGCAGTGTCCAGATCTGCTATTCCGCACGTTTGCCTGTGACCCTAACCTTCTATCACCTTCACCCACCCATGCCAGTGGTTGGTGTGTCATGATGGAACAAGAATGCTCTCACGTGTTGCCAATACCCTCCCTCCCTCCCTCCCTCCTCGGACCTGCTTGCACGGCCGCTTCACAAAGGTAACCAGCTCTCTGAGACGGCTTTCCCTTTGACTGATCAACGAGATAAGGATGAGTCAAAAGAAAGTCGTGTGCTAAGAGTAGGACCCATCTGCTGCCTGCGTCACTGCTCACTCTATGGCCTGTTGCGTGTGTATTCGCTCTCTCTCGATTTCGCCCTCCTTGCTTCGTCACTGCCCTCTCCATAGGCCTGGCACATTTGATCACAGGAAGGCATGCACATCATCGGCAAAGAGGATGCCTTAGACGCCCACTCAACTCCACTGTCATAAAACTCGTCAAAAATTGATCAAATCAATTAATTGCCACTCACAAGCTGTCAAACTGTTGGGTAAGGGGCTACGGTTTGCGCAGACAGGGAACCTCGGCGAGTGACCTTTCTCAAGGGGTAGGCGATAGGGAGTTTTTTTTTTTTTTTTTTTTTTTTTAGGACCCTGCTAAAGGAGAAATAAAAAAACATAGATGCGTCCGGGAACCACTTCTCAATTGTAAGTGGTGAATTATGTCATAAATTATTAAATATTAAATTCTCATAATTGTACAGGGTGTCATGAAAGGCAAAATTAAAAAAATTCAGATAAGTTTGCATGCCTCAGGTGTAATCTTCAAAGAAATCAGATACACACCTAGACCCCAAATGGAAGTTGAGGCACCTGGAAGAGTTGATTGTGGAGAGGACTTGGTACGGTCTGTGAGCAGGGAGAGGCGGTTAACGGAGACCTCGATTTTCAGACAACCTGTAATGCCATTTATAACAAAACCCAAGGGTCATTTTATTATTTTAACCAATATATATATATTTTTTTTAATTTTATAAACAAGGTCTCCAATCTATTCGTGGGGAGCAGCACCTGCTGGGAACCGGGGCCAGCGTCCCATATCTAATTGTACAGATCAGTTGAGATGCAGGGGCCATTACCCGGCTTCGGCTGAGAACAGTCTGAGAACACGATGGGATTCAGAAGACATGGGGAGGATCATGAATATCTAATGACCTATTAAGGAACTACTCATGCCATAAGCCACCACAGAGGTCCTACGAATGCTCCATTTTAACCAAACTTGTCACCAATTCATAGAGTGGAGGTCATACTAACTACTTAACAAAAAAAATAAATTGAAATGAGCAGGAGGGAAGAGAAGAGAGGTATATCCTGCACCACCTAGATCCCAAACAGAAGTTAGCACCTGGAAGAGTTGATGGTCAGCAAATTTGCCCCTGGACCGGCCCGGGAACTGTCCTCACAAGACGGCGGCGACTTCGCAGACACTGCAGACTTCATCAGGCGGTCCAACATGGGCCGTAGTGGCAGTCACACAGTTGGATCATGATGTACATACACAATTATTTTCTGTTCTATTCTCTCTTGTGTCTCTTGTATTATCTCTTGTGTTTTGGTACAGTGGACCCGGTTTCCAGCAGGTGAGGCTCCCCACCAATAAGACTGGAGCACCAGGCAATGCTACTGCAAGGTGGTGCGTTGACCGCCCCTTGCAGCAGCCCCGCCTTGGTCATGTCCAAGATCTGTCTCTTATACACATCTAGATGTGTATAAGAGACAGGTATTGGTACAGTGGACCCGGTTTCCAGCAGGTGAGGCTCCCCACCAATAAGACTGGAGCACCAGGCAATGCTACTGCAAGGTGGTGCGTTGACCGCCCCTTGCAGCAGCCCCGCCTTGGTCATTCAAAAAATTAAAATAGACTGGCAAGAGTCGATCTTCAGCGGCATTGAGGGTAGAGGAGTACTTACGTGGGCACCGTTGCTTGGGGACTGCAACGGGCCTCGACTCCAAGTATGTGCTTGACCGACAGTCAATCCTTCCGCAGGACGTAGTCATGTTGTCAGGATTGACTGTCGGTCAAGCGCATACTTTGCGTCGAGGCCCGTAGCAGTCTGACTTGCCAGCGGTATAGGTGACGTGAGGATGCCTTGCGAGTGGGTCTTACATGTAATTTCTGACTTGCCAGCGGAATAGGAACCAGACTGACTCTCCCCAGAACGGATATGGAGCCGAGCCCAAAAGGACTCGTCTTGAAGCACTGGTACCTCCGCCAGTGTTGGGAAAATAAGGAAAACTGGCAGTTTTCCCAAACTCCTAAAAAGTCGGGGGCTGGGCCTGACGACGCCCGCCATTGATAAATCTCATTGGCGGCCGTCGTTTCGTTTCGGCCTTCTAAAAGATTGGCGGCGCACCCGAGGCCTCTCTATTTTCCCAACCGGCGGAGGTACTAGCGGCTTAGACAAAGGGTAAAAAAAAAAGGAGGAGAAGGGGATGAATAGGATGGGAGGTGGCAAGGAAGTGAATGATCAAGCCTGCAACAGAAAGAGGAATCAGGAAAGGCAGAAGGCGGCGAACCAAGAAGTGTGTGTTGTCATATTCGCTATACACGCAGAAAAAGGCGTGAGTGTGCCAGACTGTTTCGTCGGGACTTTCACCGATTCACCTGTCAGGATATTGAACCTGGACCGACAGTCTGGCCAGGATGGATGCATTTCACTGATGGATAAGAACTCACCACATCACCCAGAGTTAGCGATACCCAGCCCTGAGAGAGAGAGAAAAGTGGTCGACCTTACTCACACCAACCAACCCTGCAATCCTAGCAGACTGTGGGTCCAAACACCTGACAAGAACGGCAGTAAGTATGAGAAACTGTCATCTTCACCCAAACAAAATGGCCGGTCATTATCGCTGCATCTGGACTGAAAATTGTGCCAAACGCAGCTATAATGACCGGACGTTCTATTCAGGTGAAGAAGGTAGTCTGACACAGTCATAAAACCCACTCTACACACCCACTCAGCCATGGACACCCAATTTGGCATGGGTGTGTGCTGTGGATTTTCACCACCACAGCCCCTGTTCCACCCAGATGAGTAGATCCAATATCGAAGCAGCTCTACCTCCATTGCAGACAACGAAGCACACATGAGATGAGCCATTCCGACAATGAAACAGTTTACCTCTATAGCAAGCAACATGGAGCAGAATAGATCCATTATATTATCCCTTTCTTGACTTTCTTAAAGTTTCTTTACTTCGGCTTTTTTCGGGGCACCCCTTCTATTTGTTATTGCAGCTCCTTTTTTACTGTGGCTCTCACGTACAAGGCTGGCAACGTTTTTTTTTTTTTTTTTTTTTTTTTTTTTCAAAACAGCCCTGGAGACAGCTTGAGGTGCTGGTAGGAGCAGACACATCAAGCTGGCCTCGGGGAGACTCCATTGTGGGGAACAAGCCCTCACGGGGCCCTATCAGACATCACATGTTCTGGGCAAACCCCCCCAGCAAGCCAAGTGCCCGTCCTAAGTGAAGGCGGGCCTGAATATTTGTCAAAGGCCAAAATTCGACGCTTCCGTATGTGGGTATTCAGGCTCTTGCAGCACGCCAGTTGGTTGAATGGACGCGCGAGCCTCACTAAGCTGCGTCGTACAGTTGGCCCAGGCCTTGACAGTTGCGCCTGGGCACATACACACAAAGCAGGGCCGAGACATTGAGAAGCAGGCCATCGGCCTATGCAAAAGCAGTACTGTCGACGCACCTACCTGGGAGCCCTGCACAGATGCAGCAAACAGCCCATGTCCGGAGACTCAGGCCGTGCCCAACTGTAAAAGGGGCCCAGGCCGTCAACTGTAGACTCGGGCCTGGGCGCAGGGACTGAGGCCCAACCGGAAGCTACTGGAAGCTTCCAGCCAGGCTACACGCAGCATCCAGGAGGCTGCCACTTCCATAAAAGAAGTGAGGCAGCCCAGGCCAGGCATTCTGGCCTGCATAGGCAATGCGGAAGTGCTGCTGCGCTACTGCTTGATGCTGCACTGCGGCCAAGGACGCTGACGGGGCACATAGAGGTGAAGTGGGGTGCTGCAGGGCAGCGGGGCGCAGGCAGCCATAGCCGGGATGCTGGGCACCAGGGGGGTACAGCGGGCGATCTGGTGGTCTTCAGGGAAGGAGGCGAGCGTGGGTTCTCAAGGTCTGATGAGGGTGACGAGATACGTACCTGGTGCATGAAGAGAGGTCTGCTATGGTGTTGACATCATGTACACTGGTCTTTGGGAGTCCAAGGGAGCCTGTTGCGTGAACACAGCTGTAGGTAGGATAGTAGAGTAGAGTAGGCTGGGGC